CTGCCTGGCCACTGGCCAATCAGTGTTTTATTTATTGACCAATCAGAGCAATTTGACATACAGACCATCCCACAGCACAGGGCCATGCTGCATCCAGAGCCATACAGGTCTAAGTAGCACATACTGCTGTATTGTACCATGGTGACATCTGGGCCAGGGCTGCATGTCTGGGTTCATGGCCCTACTGTAGTCAGGGTCTGTGTTGATGTCCGGGGGTTCCTTTTTCCACATGAGAGCCATGTGGATCCCTGGGGTCTAAGCCCCCACTTGGTGCTGTGTTGGTGTCCAAGGGCTGTGCTACTGCTGAGGCCATGAAGATGTGGGTGGCCTGTGCCACCACCTATGACCATGGTGACATCCAGACCCAGGGTGCTGCAGAAGACCATGTCTGGGGCAACACAGAAGCTTTGGATCTGGGATGCAACCTGTGGCCTTGATGTAGTCTAGAGGCCATCCTGCATCCAGGGCCATAAAATTCTAAGTGGCAAAAACTGCTATCTGGTGCCATGGTGACATCAATGAGGTTGGGCCATGTCTGGGTCTGTGACCCTACTACAGCCATGGTCTGTGTTGATGTCTGTAGCTCCTGTTGTCACAAGGGCAATGCAGATTCCTGGGGTCTGAGCTGCCAGCTAAAGCAGTGTTTCTGTCTGAGGGCCATGTTGCTACCAGGGCCATGCCAGACTGGTAGCCTGCATTGTCAGGTGGGGCCATGGTGACATCCAGACCTGGGCTGCTACCAAGAACTATGTCTGGATCCATAGTCCCAATGCAGCTGAAGTCTCTGTTCCCACCAAAGGTTACACAGAAGCCCGGTGTAGGGCCATAATTATCTGTGGTCTTGTTGATGTCTGGGGGCCATGTTCCCACCACAGCCATCCTGATCTGAGTGGCCTGTGCTTCCAGCTAGCCAGGATGTCATCCAAAAGCCCAAGCTGCTCCCAAGCACCATGTCTGGGTCCCTGGTCCTGCTGCACCTGGGGTCTGTGTTGATGTCTGTGGCCCAGGAAGCCATAGGAACCGTGTGTGATGGAATCAGAGGGCCATGCTGAGCCAGCCCTGCCCTTTGCTGGCCTTAGGTAGCTGGCTCTACCCCACACTGGATGCTGCAGCAAGAGAGCTGGCCCCAGCCCTCATGGGAGAGCTGGCCCCCTACACTTGGGAGAGATAGCCTCATCCCTCACTGTAAATGGAAGTAGAGCTTTCTGTCCTGTAGGATCAATTATACCAGGCAATCACTTCCCAAATTACCACTCAGAGGCTTATATTAATTATAAATGCTTGGCCAACGTCTCAGGCTTGTTACTAGCTGACCATCGAATTTAAATTAACCCATATTTACTATCTATACTTTGCCACATGTTTCATGGCTTGTTACCTCATTTTCTACAAGTCTTGCTTCCTTGGCAACTGGCTAGTGTCTTCCTGGACTCTGCCCTCCTTCTCCCGGTATCTCTGTTTGGCTTTCCTACCCAGACTTATTCTTCCTGATTATAGGCCAAACCAGCCTTTATTATCAACCAATGAGATCAACACATATTCATAGCATACAGGATATCCCATAGCACCTCACCATGGGTTGGGAAGAGCTGACCCTGATGACATGGGTATAGGGGAGCTGGCCCCAACCCTCACCTGAGGCAGGTGGCCCCAGTGGCCTGTTTGGCCCCAGCTCAGCTATCACTCAAGCCCATAGCTGCATCTGGGATGGTCTCACCCTAACATCTACTCCTTCTAGGACCTGCTGGAGCTTGTGAAGGTACTGCTCATGTGGAACAATAACTGCAGGATCTCCATGACACAGGGCATGCTCAGGATATCCAAGAAAAGTTTTGGTGAGGATCCAGTGATGATAACATACCTGAAACCAGAGGCCTTGACCAGACCAGTGAGTCATTGCAATGAACATTTGCAAGTAAAGATGAGTGGACAAAAGGGTACACTGTGTGACACATTGAGGCTCCCAGTGCCACCAGGACGAATGAAGAGATGTTGGGGAGGCAGAAAAGATGACGGAGAGAAGAGGTTTTTTTTTTTGTTTTTTGATTTTTTTTTTGTTTGGTTCTTTTGTTTCTTTTTGTTTGTTCGCTTGCTTGGTTTAATTTGATGTTTTTTAAATTTTCGCTTGGGGGACTGCTATACAGGGGAGCAGAGGATATGGAGGGCCTAGGAGGTGACCAGAACTGGGGTACATGATGTGAAATTCCTGAAGATTCAATAAAGAAATTATGTTAAATATGAAAAAAGAATAATAGTTGTCAGTATTTTGATAAGAATCTTTCCAACAAGTTAAAGCTTTTACATTTTCCACAACTGGTACATCATAAATACTGATTTCTGACTATCATTTTATTTTAATTTTTCCTCATGAACTTTTTCTTTAATGATTTTTTTGTTTTGATTTTTAGAGAGGGTCTTTGTATGTATCCCAGGCAGACCTTGAATGCATTATGTAGTCCAAGCTGGACTCAATCTCACAGAAAACCCTTTTTCAGCCCCCTGAGTTTTGTGACTATAGGCTTGTGCCAGCATATCTGGATGAACACTTTTCTATATCATCATGTCTTCTTTATCATTTTTATTATGATTGAATAGTATTTTATTATATACTTTTAAAGACTTCCAACTTGCTTCCAACTTCAAATAATGCAATGGTCAAGAAGTCACATTTTATACTATAGTCACCAAGTTTTTAGCCACCACTTCTAAAAGAGTCACAATATTTCCCATCCATGGGTGAGATCCGGCGTTCTGTCCCCATCACAGGAGGCAGAGAGTGAAAGAAACTAATTAAACCCTAGATGCGAGCAGACTGTTGACATGTCACCAAATAGAGAGGGGAAATCAGTATGCCATGGTTTAACCTTGAAACAACTTATTACATATTTATATGTATATTTATATGTAGAAAAGATACAATAACATGGGTGGTGGGATTTTCTCTACAAGGTAAAAGACAACACCTTCCTTCTCCAGTGTAGAATCCCACAACCTTTCACATCTGTCTACAGGTAACAAGCTTGATTGAGACTCCAGTGACCCAGAGGCATAGCCAGTAACTAAGATCATGTTCGTCCTTTACATCATCATTCACTAGGAGCAGCAGAAAATGCTTTCTTACCTGGAGGAGAGTCTGCATTGAGGTCTGAGGAATCAAATTCATTCATGAGGTTCTTGTTAATATAAATGTTTTCTGAAAACATATTGAGAAGAAATCTTGCCCTGCCCTCAGAAGATTTGTGCCATCCCTTCCTTAAAATAGGTCCTAAGAACACAGCCCATGAAACCAGCTAAGCAGGACTCACAGGGCTCACAGAGACTCAAGCTGCTTTCATAGAACCTGCACAGATCTACACTAGGCCCTCAACATACAAGCTGGGGTTGTTTAGCTTGGGGTTGTTGTGGGACTCCTAACATATTGCATCGGGTATCTCTGTCTCTTTTACCTGCTCTTAGGACACTTCTCCTCCTAGTGGGTTGCCTCATTGAGTTCTAATATGAGGATTTGTACCTAGTCTTATTGTATCTGTTATGCTGAGTTCAGTTGATATCCCTGATAGGCTTGCTCTTTTCTGAGAGGAAACAGAGGAGCAATGGATCTGGGGGGAGAGGGAGGTAGCAGAAGACCTGGAAGGAGTGGAGGGAGGGGAAGCTATGGTCAGGATACATTGTATGAGAAAAGAATACATTTTTTTAAAAAAAGAGCAGAAATACACAATATGAAAAAATTTCTCTAAACAAGAAACAGCAAATTGTCATGCTATCAGCTAGGTGATGAGAAGCACTTCACAGAAAGCTGGCCTGAGTGTGCAGCATGAGGTCCTTTTCCCTGACACATTATCTTCAGACACAGGGCCTGGAAAATTGGACTGTGACCTAATAGGGACTAAATAAACAGGATATTTTTCATTGTCTGCGATTCCTGATGAGCCAATTGTAATAAACCATGAATGGAGGTCCTGATGAAGTGAACCATGCTATTTCTAGAAGCTGCACTCCCCAGACTGTGTACTGTGAATCAGAATATAAGTTTAGAGGTGGAGGTAACATTGGAAGGGATGCGAATCATGGGTAATTCCATCTGATGTACAGAAGCACCTGGGTGAGTAAAAACCAGTGAGACATCTCCAGAAACCAGGGCACCTTACCATCTTTTGTGTATCTAATAAATACTTGCATAAAGGATATTGTCTAAAGCCTAGTGCTTTTAGGAAATAAAATATAATGCTTTGGGTTTGGAGAGATGGCTCAGAGATTAAGAGCACTAACTGTTCTTCCAGAGGACCTGAGTTCAAGTCCCAACAAACACAAGGTGGCTCACAACCATCTGTAATGAGATCTAGTGCCCTCTTCTGGCATGCAGGCAGAACACTGTGCCATAAATAAATAAATAAATAAATAAATAAATAAATAAATAAATAAATAAATAAATAAACAAACCAGCAAGTAAATAAATAAATAAGTAAGTAAATCTTTTTAAAAATTGCATGTTTGGATGAAAAAAATCAACAACTTTATTGGAAGGAGTGGGAAAGATGAACTAGGCCATTAGAGAAGTCTGCCCTGAGACCCAAGCTCTCTGCATTCTGTGCAAGCATAAAGTTCCACATACAAATATGGTTTTGGGCAAACCAGACCACAAGAGCAAACACTGAGTCACTGTAGGTACCACATCATTTTGACTGAAGAGCCAAGTTCTGATACCACATTCTAGAGGACCATTGGCCCCTCACCATTGTGTGGGTTCCCACTTCCCATTCAGCTGCCTCTAGCAGGTGGGAAGGCAAAGCTCAGTTCCTATTCCTTCTGAAGCTGCTCCTCTGAGTTCTCTGCTTCCCACTGTCTTCATAACTCACTCATGGGCACTCTCCACTCACTGGGCCACTGGCCACATCCTGACACAGCTCTGGTTAGCAGCTGTGGGAGGAGGCTGTCTCTCTCCTCATGCCTCTCTTCCCTTGATCCCTGCACTGCTGAGCAGGAGCCTCGCTGGTCCACAGCACTGTTGGGAAGAGTTGGGAGAATTAATGGATCACAACACAGCAGGGGAAAACTAGTTGCTAAAAATGGGATCATTGTGTTTCTCCCGCAAACGTCTTCCAGCTGATACCCCATGCTCAACCTTCAGCTCTTCCAAACACTTCTCTTCTTGAAATCTCCTCTAGCTACTCCCATGTTCACACACATAACAAGAAAAAACACATGCATGAACACACACAAAAACACCCCCCACACACACACACAACTCCACACACCCATGCCTGGTCTACCCTATGCAAGGAAGCTCCTTCAACATTATGAGCCTGTGAATGTCAGCCCACTATGAAACCAATACTATGCACAGGTGCTTCCTCACTCTATACAGGTGCCCTCCTCACTCTTCTGAATACCCAGTTCCTCCATCAGGACCCTCTTCTGTAGATGTAACCAATCGTGTTATTAAAAAAGAAACACAGA